CTGACATACATACAGTATCATAGTAAAGCCAAAAGTCCTGTTCTAGTTTCAGATAGAACACATTGTTAACGAAATGAGCGTACGCACGAACGAATTCGACTTTTGTAGGTGTGTCGAGTGATCCAACGATGTTTTCTGTTCCCGTAAATGCTTTAGTTAACATCTCTTTGAATATTTGATCTGGCACTTTCAAATATTTCGGCTTGTTCTCCGACGCTGATCTGTTCGCTACTGTTTCTTCGGCCACATCGCCCATGGTCGTCGAACGTTGACGTTTGCTCGGAAGATTCGACAGAGACATTTGACTCATCGATGCCGTGACACCCGCTGGTCGTGTGTCACGTTTACGCTTAATGGGTCCTGCTGTTGTAGCACGTATTTCGGTCACCGTTGAGCACGGTCTCTTTCAGAGCAGAAGAAAGGCGAGAAAAAAGTGATGGCACTGATTCTTCATGATTCCTGAGGCATCCTACCTGCTCGCCTGCAGGTATGAGAAGTTCGACGTTCATCTCAGGAGCAGCGGTCTGCTGGTGTTGTTCCTGCTCTCGATTAGTACTTGCATACTGATTGGCCATCCTTGTTATGGTTTCATTGTTGAATCCTCGTTTTCGTAGCTTTGCTTTGAACCGTTGTTGAGTACGATCGCCTCGACTTTTCTTCTTTTTTTGGTTCGCTCTTTGTGGCTGCTGCTGCTGCTGTTGTGAGGATGAGTGCAGTTGTTGGGCAGCTACTGGCTGACTGGTGAAAGTGACGCTTGGCGAACGACTTGAAGTGTTAACTTTCGGTTGAGAGTGTGGACGACTATTTGACATGCTGGATTGACAAGGTAGAGGGTGTACCCTTCACGGGGAAAAAACTTCAAATATCTAGAAGAGAAATCAATGGTTCAATATGAGATCGAAGCCAGTGGACATGGTTGGAGTCGACGTTGATCATCGGCTGAATCGAATGAGTTGAATTACATATACAGCAGTCTTATATATAGCTGACTCCTTGGTAGAAAAACACTGCCCTAGACACTGCCCTAGACACTGCCCCGGACACTGCTCTAGACACTGCCCTAGACACTGCCCCGGACACTGCTCTAGACACTGCCCTAGACACTGCCCCGGACACTGCTCTAGACACTGCCCTAGACACTGCCCCGGACACTGCCCCGGACACTGCCCTAGACACTGCCTCGGACACCGCCCTAAGAAAAGATGCCTGCACTTGATGGACACGTGATTTCTGATTTTTATTTTTTATTTTTATTTTTTTTCACTTCAAACGACCTGCGGTAAATCATAAGCACCGATACAATTCTTTTTGTTAGCTTTTTAATTGAACAAATCTGAAGTAAGCCGTAGTAAGAATCACATGAAAATCAAGAGAAAATAAACGGAACAAAGGGAAAATATCAGAAATTTCGGCATGAACATCCCACGAAGGCACATTCATAGGAGAGGTAGGACGAGTACAAGTAGAACAATTAACAGTACAAGTCATGATACTTAGCGGAGTGTGCTCGTACTTTGTAGTTGAAAAAATGAAAAAAGTACAAGTACAGGTACTTGCGTCGTAGCCTTGATCAACAGTCTTTCAAACCATGGTCAATGATTTCACGGAGTGACTTCAATAGTTGCGTCATCCTAGGGCAATGAAAACAAGGTGGGAAAGGTTCTGCTATGCACATTTTTTGACGCTTCGATGAAAAATTACCGATCATGTTCAACATGTCCGATCATCTTTCCGATTGATAACTCTAGCTGGTCCAAAACATTGTTGGCAGTTTCGTTTATAGTAGTTCGACATTCATCTCTC